AGTATGATCTTTTAACCAGAGCAGGTGACTGAATCTCTCTATATTAATGTATATTCATACTGATTATATACAAAGTAACTACAGAGTGACTTTAAAGGCAGAAAATGATGGACACACTGATGGTCTTTTCCCCCTACAGTAAACCCTGGACTCTTCCTCGACTCTCCTACTGCAGATTTCAGTGGTCCTGCTTTCCCCACACGTGAGTGTTTTATAACCTTTCTAATGCACTAAAACAGTTCCTTAATTATTCTTGCTGTGTTTAACGTTTATCCTCTTTTCCTCTCTCCTTATCTCAGTGAGAGAGATCGATATTGACAGCATTCAGGCTCCGGAGCCCCGGACCAGAGATGAGTTCCTGCAGTGTGAGTGAAGCCCTGAGTTACGTAACACATGCACTGTAAACAAGTCTGAAATATTTTAGTTTTTACAGGACTGTGTAAAAGTCAGAGACCACCCTTTGTTTATTTAATATCCAGTCAAAACAGCCATTAAGTTATTCTCTTTTCAGCTTTAGGGAAGGAGAACAAGTATTAAACAGACACTGACACAGAAGCCTTAACAGCTATTTTTCAGCCCTCAGTGTGTCCACACTTCAGCTTCACCACAGCGTCCGTCCTTTTTGGGAGTTTTTCAAAGAAATCTATAGGGATTAAAAAACTCCAGAGTTTGGTCTTAGAAGTTGGTTGCATTTTCTGCCTCTCAGTCTAAAAAACAAAAGATCCAAAGATTAGAACAACGAGCAGCATTCATATCCTGAACTGCCAAAGGCAGCTACTCCTGGGTTTTACTGCGTACTCGTTTCATATATACGATTCAAAAACGACATTCAGTCTCAATTATCAAGACTCTCTTTTGATTCTTACATGAAACATCAATTAAAGAAATCAGAGAGGCCAGCCTTTTTACTTTAATTTGACAGCCAAATTAAAGTAGAACTCCAGCACTGTTTGAACCTCATCTCTATCTGCTGCATGTGTATCAGACGGTCAGTTAACATCGGAAATAATTTCAATAATAAAGAACAGAAGCCTAATACCCAAAATTAATAAGCTTTCTATTATAAGTAGCTTTAAAGTCTGCAGGATTTCAGGATGGCTTGAGAAAGGCCCAAAATTGTGAGTCTCACACTAAAACCACATTGACAAAACTTCTCAACTTAAAACATTTTCACAACTTCAATAAAAGCAGAGTTCAACATTTACCTGAAGTATAATGTGCTGCAACTAAACGAGAGCTGAGAAACGCTGCTTTTGTGCTGCACTGCTTTCATTTTAAGGTAGGTGAAACACAGAGAACAGAAATGGTGGAAAGCTGAGAGAAAGTAACTTTACTAAAGCAGCAATTTGGGGAGAAGATGTGAAGCTCGTTTCTGTGGAAATGAAAGCTTAAACAATCAGAAACCCTCAGTATACTAGTTCATTTTTGAAGCCTACAAAGAAGCTCCCGTTCCTCATCATCTCTGTCTCTCTCTCAGATGCTTGTGATCTGACCCTTGACCCAAACACGGCTCACCGCCGCTTGGCTCTGACGGAAGGTGAAACCAAAGCGACCCTGCACGCCACATCCCAGCCGTACCCGGACTGCCCGCAGCGCTTCGACGGCTGGACGCAGGTCCTCTGCCTGCAGCCCCTTTCCTCTGCCCGATGCTACTGGGAGGTGGAATGGCGTGGGCGGGGCTCTTCGGTGGGTGTGGTCAGTGGAACCATGCCTAGAAAAGGGGCAGATGCGAAGGCAGGGCTTGGATACAACAGCCAATCATGGAGCCTGGAGCTGTCCGACATGTGCTGCGCTGCCATGCACGCCAATCAGAAGGAGGAGATCCCGGTGATCTACTGCCCCCGTGTGGGCGTCTTTCTGGACCGTGACGCCGGCACGCTGACCTTTTACAGCATGGACGACGGCCTGGTGCCCCTGCACACCTTCTACGGCTCCTTCCCCCCGCCGCTGTTCGCTGCGTTCGGGGTGGGCAGCGGCGTGGGCGTGGGACTGGACTTCGCCATGGGTCAGTTCAGCTCCACTTCAGACAGCATCAAAATCTGTCCCCTCTGAACTGTGGACACCGTTTCATTTGGACTTTGGAGGAACACAGACTAACAATTTGACAAAGCAACAGTTTGACAAAGTAATAATTTGGGAAAATAACAATTTGCTAAAATAACAAGTGAACAAAGTAACAATTGGCTAAAATTATTTGGTAAAGTAACAATTTGGCCACAACAGCCAATCAAAGAGCACCGTGGTACACACCTATCAGAGGAGAGAGATCTCTGCCCTCTGCTCTGAGGGCTCTAAGGGTTATAGCATCTTCTACTTAAAACAGTACGAAACTCTTGTGAATGTAAAAAAAAAATGAAATATTATTAATTTGCTTTAATAAAAGCAGATGGAGCTCAACATTTACCTGCAACTCCAAAGTGCTGAGAAACATTTTAACTTCAGTGGAACACAGAGAACAGAAACGGTGGAAAGCTGGGAGAAAATAACAGTTTACTAAAATAACCGATTTAGATGTGAAGCAGTTTCTATGGAAATGAACATGTTTAAGACATCATGATCAGAACTCCTCATTATATTAGTTGTTTCTGAAGCGCATTTTAAATACTGCAAAACAGTCCTACATAATTATCTTCTCACCAGACAAGAATATGAAATTTCATTACTTTTTTCAAGATTTTTTTTTTAACTCGACTGTGATCCGTGACTTCCGCAGGTCAGGACCATCAGAACTCTAATTATTGTAATGTAAGGGTGGATATTTTACTGTCATCGTGATAAATGTTATTATTGTGATAATATGCTTTTCTGAGATTTCATGGAGACCATCAGTACTTAAAGAGCACTGACCAACTACATGTTTCATTACAAAGCGAGCAGAATGAGGCCTGTTTCATTGGACTTAGTGCAGTTTATTAAACATTAAAGATTATTGTAATTGTACATTTCTTCTGCTTATTATCGTAGTATTTTTTGTATATGTGGCACTACTGGTTAAATCTATTTCATTTATTCCAACTGATTAAATCATGAAAATTATATATTTTGCCATATGTGGGCAACACCCCCAGTGAGATGTTTTGTGAATCATGAGAATGTATCATGATATGATATTTTTTCCATATCGTCCACCTCATTACAGTGATTATAGAGTGTTGTTTGTACGTATTAAAGGCCTGGTCACTATTTCATGGTATTTACTGCTTTCTAATCTCTAAAAAAACAACAGCCAAGACATTGATTTTGATTATTTTATTAAAAAAGAAGCAACAGAATGGCACTGATGGGGGTTTTAACAGGGAATCAGCTAACTGACACAATGGCCGTCTATCTCTATACTAATCAATGCTTGGCACAAAAACTACAGATGGTGACATCATCTCTATGTGCCAGTCCTTAACCCTGAGAGACAGAAGAAAGGCTGATATGAGAGACGCAGAAGCTTGTGGCTTCAATAAAGTAAATAAAGTCATAAACTTTGGCCGCGTCCCGATTATGTTTGTTTCTTTACACTGTTTGGATCAACATCAATGATATTGATAATTAATTAACACAAATCTACAGGAGCTTAGAATAGAGGTTAGTTTTATTTGCTCTGCTCTCCGTCACACCAGCCTTTCTGACAAAATACTACAGTTCACCCTCCACTTCCATTCTGGCCCACAATCCAGCGCTGCTCCTCTATTATGGCTATTACAACAGCACAAAAAAGCAGGTCCGCTTACATTAACAAACAAACAAATACGTTCAGTTTACAAAAAAACAAGATGATAAAGTCCAGCAGAAAAGCTGGTCAGATCATTTTGGTTCGTACAAGCTTTTAAAAGAAAATCCCCTTTAAACCTTTAAACTCTGTCAACGAGAACTAATGATACACATATTAAAAAGCTCTGCTAAATGAAATAGTGCTAAATAATGATACTTCATATAACTTATGTTAGACCTTTAATCTTATACTGGTATATACGGGGTAAACTGTCTAATAACATGGTTTAGTGGGTTAAAATAAAAAAGTGCTCTAAATGTGAAGCGGGATGGTTTAATTCGCTCAGGGGTCAAAATTTGAGGAATCAGGTCCACACAGCACATCTGGACACTCGCTAATAGCAGGTTCTGCAACTTATGAAACTGTACTGCTGGATGAGTTTAGTGATGTTCTATATGAGTTAAATGCAGAGCCTGGGTGATTTTATATTCCCTATATTTAATCTTTAAGAGTCAGGGAGATGAGGGACTCGTATACGTGAGAGGAAAGTACGATGATTCCCTTTGAGTTTAAACTACAGAAGCATGAGTGAGTTTTCTGATCAGCCGGACACTACTGACCTGAACAGAATATCTACTTCCTCATAAACATATAATCCCTTCCAGATGGCCCTGAACGCCACATAACACACATGGCAAAAAATAATAACAAAACAAAACGTCTCCCTCATAAAAGAGAGAATCCTGAGCATCACCAAGACCAGTCAGCCAGTATTACAACTGACACAATAGAAGAAAGCGGAAATGCATGCTGGGAGTTGCAGTCAGTAATGAGCTCTGGTCGGTTATAAGGAAACAGTTAAGAGCAACCAGACAGATATGGCAGTTATTACTCATAAAATAGCTCAAACAACTGGTGGTTCAGTAGTGTTTGAAGGTAAAGCGTAACAGGCTAGTTTACAGTAAAGCACAGAGGCTCAAGTCCAACTCCAGAGGAAAGAAAGACCAGTCCCTGTTCTGAGGCTCTGTAGCTCATCCTTTCATTTCTTCCTTGTTTCTTCGTTAATCTTTATCACTTTCTTTATCACCTTTAAGTCACTTTCGTACTCCATCTTCATCTCTCCCCAATTTACAATCTACCAGATTCTCAACTCTACAATTTACAATTTCACCTCATTAAGATTCATGTTTGTTTATTTATGTTAGCTACGATGCTCAGCTTGAGTAATATGACTACATTTAATGTTATTACATTAAACAATCTTATTAAAATAATAGTAACTACTAATCCTCACTGAAATCAGAATGAGAGAATGAGGGAAACTCAAACACAGTCATATGCAAATGTTTATACACCCCTGGTTAGATTAGCCATATTGTTAATCTACAGGGAACAAACCTAAATATGGCATGTTTCTGAACATTTTAGTGTAAAATTTCTAACATATTGGAGACTGTAACTTCTGCACAGGTCACATTTTATGTTTTTCCTCAATATATGAAATTCAGTAAATAAACAGTAATTGTGCATTAAAATGGACAGAAGTGTGTTCTCTGTAAACATCTTAACTTGTTCTCAATTAGAAAATCAACAAAATGTTATTTGACCGGGGTGCCCACACTTTTGCATACGACTATCTAAGTGGACAATTCCTGTTAAATATGGTTCAATACAGCACAAGCATGTTACCTGTGTCATTAGGGGACCCTCACCAACTTTCCCAAAACCCTCCACATTCTATCCCACCTACAGCTCGCGCTGCCGCTCCACTCCATGATGCACCTACTTTCTTTAAGCTCACTTCACCCTACGTACACTATCCCTGATCAACTTCCTCTCTTCTTTCTCCACCTGCTGTCCAGAGCCTGCAGAGCCTCACAGGAAAACGGACAGATTAAAAGAAACATTGTGCGAGTCAGGCTAAGGCAAAGGTTAAAACACTGGTTAAAGCAAGTTACAGGTGAAAGGAATCGGAATAAACTGGAGAAATTAAAGGAAAAATAAAAGAAAATATTACGCAGTCTCCTTTCCCTTTATATAAATAATCAAGGCCTTCAATATTCGCCACTGATACACGATAATCACGACAGGACGCTACATTTACTTACATAACTGTGCTTTAAACAACAAGCAGAAGAAAGACGTCTCATCTTCTTGATGCTTTATAGTTTACTGTTTGTTCATAAGGAGGCAAGAAAAGGGCTGAATTAGGAAAAGTCACAGGTTAATCAGTGCAGGCCACGCGTCCAAACACGACTCAGACAAACTGACACACCCAAGCCACGCCCCCACACTCGTTTATCACTGTGAGGTTAAACAAGCTTTCCAGAAAAATCCCATTTAACCTAATAAGAAGTTTTATAGCACAGCAAATATCAAATACCTACAGTTCGACTGCTTTATAAGTCTGAAATTTATTTTCTATGAGTGCAAATACTTTGATCAGCTACAAAAGCGTCTAGTTCAGTAGCTTTTGAATGAAAGCTCAACATTACGTAGCGAATCTGACGCATTATAATGGCTTAATGTGAATAATTTACATAGCTTTATGTTACGTTTCCTAATTAGGTTGAATGGGATTTTAGCTGGTGCTCTATAAAGCCTGTTCCACCTAACAACGGTAGCTATGAAAGAACGCGTTTGTGGGCAGAGCATGGATACAGCAATTACTCAAATTAAAATCACTGTCCAAGGCCCGCCCACTTTCTTTAGTGTTTGTACGGAAGAGGAGGGGCCTGTGAGAGCGAGGCGTGTCTGCGGTTAGGCTTCAAGTTACCCCAAGGAGGGGTAGGTAAGTTGAGGGAAGTGGGATGTGGGGGTGGGACAGGATGGGAGGGGCTAGAGGCAGATGTGCTTCGTCGACCAATCATAGCAGGGAGACTTTGGTTCCGCCTCAATCCATCCAAAAGGCTTCCTCCGCCTGTGGCGAGGAAAGTGGCGTTATCCTGGCGATGAGCGTCTGACTCCGCTCCACGTAGCACTTTTTTGTCCAGTCCCAGCTTCCGTAGACGATCGACAAGATTGCCGCTGTGGCGATCATGACTGGACGGTTGCTCAGTGGGGGCGGGGTCAGGACTAGGAAGATCAGGTCTGGGGGCGCGGCCGAGTTTTACACCATAAACATCCTGCAAGAACAGCTCAGCAGGGCGCGATGCTAAAAAATTGTCAGAGGGGGCGGTTCTGGACTCAAAGTGGACAGGAGAGGGGCAGGGGGACTGGGAGGGGGAGTTAGGGGGGGTATTTGGCAGGAGGCGCAGGGGCTTAGGCTTGGGTAGTTTGGAAGGAGCTGGAGCTCTTTGAGCTGAGATGCCTTTCTCCAGCAGGAGTTTTGCCAGACCACCAGGGGGAGCTGCAGGACGACGAGGAGGGAAAGAGTCACCCAGACTGAGCCTGCATGGAGTGACCGGTGTACTGGGACCAGTCCGGAGGGAACTAGGGGTGTATTCACACACAGACGGACTACAGACAGAGCTAGAGAGACAGATGAGAGGGAGAGAGAGGTAAAGGAGTGGAGGATGAGAGAAACGTTGAGGAAGAGAAACTGTAAGTTAAACAGTTTAATGAAACACCAACAACAAAGTTTCCAATCAATCGAATCATGCAGTGAATTGAAATAGCATCCAATCACATACCTAGGTGTCACCTGCGTGACGTCACTGGGGTGCAGGATCCTGCAGGTGGTGAAGGTGTAGGTTGAGAAGGTGGAGCTCTGACACTTCCCAGGATTCACTGCTTAAAAAAAAGTGACGTTCATGACAAAACAGCCAATTTCAGATCTGAAATTCCAAACTTACGCTGGTTTCTGTGTTTGTGTAGCAATTAGGCATAAAGTATGCTAGCTAGCGTACGTGCTCATTTTTATCAAGGTGTCCGTCTGGCAGGAGTATTAGTGAATTATATATTACAGTCCTTTAAAACTTCAGCTGGACTCCTATAGACTCGATTCACACTCGCAACGCCAGAGACTTGAGACTCGACTCTGACTCGAACTCAGTGAGTCTAGACTAGACTTGAACTCACGTTGCGACTTGTGAAGATCTCTGGATCAAACTAGGCTTAAAATGTTTATTTATATAGCATTTATTATTTAAAAAGGTACAAATAAAATGAAGAAGACTAAATACATGAATAAATACATGAATCTATAAAAATGACCAAGTATGCTAAAAAAATCAAGCTTGAAGACGGCTGCTACTGCTCATTTTAGCCATGTGACATATTGATTGTCCATTTTTATAGATAAATATGACACCAAACTTGTTTTGGCAGATTGATTGATAACTGGTAAAAGTGTGCAAATTAGATTTTTCACCACAATCTTCCTTTCACAGCACACAGACAGGTCAGTACGGTCAGTGCTGCAGTGAATGCAATAATAACTGCTCACCTGCAGATGGTGCTGTTGTATTGATATTCAGGCTTGGAAGCGTTGACCCTGCTGATGACCCTGCAGGTGCCGGGGTTACCAAGGTGCCAGAGGTCATCACCAGGCTAGGTGTCGTGGTTAAGGAGATGGCGGTTGCCACTGCAACAGGAGAGCCTCTCAGAGACGGAGAATGGGGTGGAACTTTCAGTGGCGTGAGGACACTTCTCCTCTCTTTCTTCTCCTCTGGAGTGGAGGATGACTGGACATTGAAGGTAATCCCTCCCTCCTCTTCCTCCTCTTCTTCCTCTTCCTCATCCTCCTCCTCCTCGTCTCTCCTCCTCCTCTCATCTCCTGTCCCTCTTCTCTCTCTCCTGTCCTCCCAAGGAGCTCTCTCGTGTTCCTCGTCCTCTTCCACATCTGTCAGACGGTACACGGTGTCGTGTGGCAGTGGACGGAAGCCTTTGGTGACCACACCAGGGTGGGGGTCCAGGATAGTAGCCAAATGGGGCTTCGCCAGCTGCTGCCAGTGATGCAGAGTCAGAGAGCCTTTGGGGGAAAAGGTGAGAGGCCGTTATTCAAAGTAAAACTCTTGTACTGACTCCACTTTTTGATCGTATGGATTTTATCCGTCATGGCTAAACGGCTACAAACAGACACTCTTAGTACGTTTCAGTGTTTATGATGCTGATTATACAGTAAGAGAAATTCGCTAAGTTGCACTGAGTTTACTGTGTTTTATATTTATTTGCACTTGAAACGATCAGAACGGTTAAATGTCCTTATGGGCCATGGAAGATTCTGTGGTCTGCTGCACGGGCAGCACGTCGTAAAAGGTTGGCAGTTTCTGCTCTGAAAGCTCCCACACAGGAAACTATTACATGAAAAAGTTATGGGCACATTGCTTTATTATCAACATTACCTATAAAACTCTGTACACACTGTAGTTACGCTGGTCATTTAGGACAGTAAATAAAATGGCTGTATTTGTGCTGCTCACACTGCAACCCCTGGTTTCTGTCATCAGTACTGTAAAGAAATCTGAGTTGGTACATTACAATAACCCATTTCACTTCAAACGTCTGAATGACTTAGTTGACATCTAAATCTTAAAAACTGGTGGAATTTACATTAAAACATGCTTAAAGTTGAAACAAACATGTTTAACTCTAACACCTCGTACAGAGGGAGAGGCTGAAACTTCATTTACCTGAAAAACAGGTACAGATCTGTCTGTGACACAGTTACTGACAAATCTCTGTTTAAATCACGTATCAGAGACGGGTCCTCCAATCAACTGGCAACTAGTATTGCTGATACTGTTAGGAAACTAATTGAATCGTTTCAGTTAATTGTGTTTGTATCAGAGCTCAGAGTTCAGCTCTCACCTTCCATCGGTTTGACTATCTGCAGTTTTTCTGGCAGGAAGGTTTTGAAGCAGCTGGAGGAAACGGAGAACTCTGATAGGTTGGTGAAGGAGGACAGAACGCTTCCCATTGGTGAACTGCAGCCACTCCCACCCCCCTCAGACTCCACCCCTGCCAGCTCCTGCAGTTTCCTGTCCCGCTCGGCCTGGAAATACTGCCGCTCACACAGGAAGTTCTGTCTGCGCAGAGAGAGACGGTGCAGCGCGGAGACGAGGTCACTTCCTCCTGGACAGCCCGGCTGACCTAGACGAGAATCACACCTGAGACAGGAACACACACAGGTAAGATGTAGCAGCACACACACAAACCCTCATATGAACCCTGATATGCTTTCACACACATTAAAGAAGAATTCCACAGATTATTAAAACATTTCCGCATAATTTAGTCTTTGAGGTGTAAACAAAGTCACTCAGAGCGTTTGATGTGAAATGGTTCGTTGTAGAGAAACTAACTGACTCAGATGCCTTTACAGTGGTGGTGATAGGAACCAGGGGTCGCAGTGCCTACAAGGCAAATATAGCCATTTTATATACTGTCCACAATGTCCAGATAACCTGCATGTTTCTTGAGTTTTTATATGTAGTATTGATGGTGAAACAGCAGTAAATCTGATTATTTTGCCACACAAAACTCTGCATGTTAAAAAAAAAATGCCTAAAACTTTCAACAAAACTACTCTGCAACAGTGTCTCAGACATGATGATGTGTATTTGTTAGCATTTTGCGTAACAGTGCTGTGAGGGAGCTTTTAGAGGCACTAAAGTCTTCAGACATCTGGTTCCCATCTCCACCACTGTGAACAATTATGATTTTCTATAGAGCATTTCATGTCTAACCACTCTGAATGAATTTGTTTACATCTTAATAACTTAGTTATGCAAAGCAATTTAATTATATAGAAAAAATGTGGAATTTCCCTTTAACACACACTCAGGGCGATATGACCAAAAACCTTCATGCACTGATACATTAGTTTATATCATTCGATTTCAAAAAGTATTGATGATGGTATATGATTCTTAATGCTCAATTTTAGGTCTGAATAGTATTTGAACCCTGAAGAAAATCTGATCAGAGAAAGCTGAATCATCCACACTCTACAGGGTGTGTTTTCTTCTATAACCAACTCCTGTCCAGACATGTTTTCCTTATATTCACATCTTCTTTAAAATGACCATAATTTCAACACTAATTTCTAAGAAAAAGGACCAGATCCTACTTCTTCACTCAGATATGTGAAAAGCCCACAGCCATGCTGAAAGAATATCATACTCAGCTTCGTTATGAACCTCGTTAAACTCATCATGCTGAAAAGTACAATGATTTTGCAAGAGCAACTGAGAACAGATAAAATAAACAAACTGCTGGAGGGGCTGAAGAAACCGTAGTCAGTTCTTAATCACAGCTGGAACATCAGTGATGCAGCTGCTCATAAACATTTTCACATTTCTGTATTAAACTGTCTGTTCATCAGTTTAATAGGTGATATATGTTCAATCGGTTTGTGCAGAAAGGACCTTTGAGATAAACTAATCTTAACTAATAAGACTTCTTAACTTTTTTCTTTGATCTGGCTCCTCTGATGTTGGACTGAGTTTAAGGTGAAGTGTGGAACTGATTATACAGCTCTGTGGATACAGTCATCATTAAATTACCATGAGGACATAGAATTGTAAACCCAGCATTGCGGATCACATAGAATTGTGTGCCTCGGTTCATTATTATACCCCTAAAATACACACAGCGCCACCTAGTGTACTGCAGCTCTTCAAAGGTCAAGCTTTTGTTGATAATAGTGGACTGAGGAACAGAGCAGCACATTCATTATATAGAAATGAATCAAATGCACATTTTCGATATCCAACAACTACATTTAATCACCTAAACCTAATTTACACACACACACGCACACACACACACACACACGCACACACACACACGCACACACACACACGCACGCACGCACACACGCACGCACACACGCACGCACACACACACACACACGCACACACACACGCACACACACACACTCACTTGGTAGAGTCTGGCTGTGTGTCTGCCTCCTGCGGTGTGTGTGTTTGAGAACAGAAGGGCTGTGCGGTCATCACTACACTGCAGTGTCCTGAGCCGGGAATAGGGGGCGCCGCTGCAGCTGCTCGCACCACTGTCTCATTCACACTCCGTACCGTCTGGAACACACGCTTATGGGTGGACCTGCACAAGGGGTCAAAGGTCAAGGGCAAATAACCAACTCACACCTGGGCTGGACACTGAAGGACAAGAAAAATGATTTAAAGAAGAGAGAAATGAAGTGAGAGAGTCACCTCTGATCCTGAAAGGCCACCTCCTCCTCCACACTCAGCTCTCGCCTCATAGTGCCCTCAATCTCCGCCGCCAGAGAGTCCTACAGAGAGAGAGAGAGAGAGAGAGAGAGAGAGAGAGAGAGGGAGGAAAGGAAAAAGGGGGAAGAATGAGAGGGAACGAAAGAGAAAGAGGAAAAGAGAAACAAAAAAGAGAGAGAACAAAGTGAGAAAAGAGGGAGGAAAAAGAGAGAGGACAAGGAACAGATAGAATGAGAGAGCAGAGACGGGAGGAGAGACAAAAGGCGAATGAGAGAGAAAGATTAATTTCACTGAAATTATTTACTGAAGCACAGCAGTGAAAGTTGTTACTATTATTATTATTATTATTATTAATAATCATTTATTATTGCTTTATTATTTATTATTGCTAATACAAAATAGTAGAGAGTGCTGTGAAGGGCAGTATTAAGAGTTTAATGATGGTTTAAGAGTCTAATGACCGCTTTGCATCAACACAACATCCACTTTTTTCTGTTTTTATAAAGCACTTCAGAGAAAAATTCAGTTACAGAAAAATAAAATGAGAACTAAAATAATATACAGATAAACAGACTAATAAATAAACATAAACATAGTCTTACTAAAAGTGCTTATATGACTTTAATACTGTAGGGACTACTAAATGCTACAGAGTGTGTCTCACCATAGGGTAGTGTCCGTACGACAGGTGTCTGCGCAGCCCGGATGATGGGGTGTGTTTACTGCGCAGCTCTTTAATCTCCTCCTGAGACTCATGCAGCATCGCTACACACTCCGCATTCCTGTCTGACAGCTCCTTCAGCTACACACACACACACACACACACACACAGAGACACACGCACACAGACACACACACACAGAGACACACGCACACAGACACACACACACACACACACACACACACACACACAGAGACACAGAGACACACGCACACAGACACACACAGAGACACACGCACACAGACACACACACACACACACACACAGAGAGACACACGCACACAGACACACACACACACACACACACACACACAGAGACGCACACAGACACACACACACACACACACACACACACAGAGACGCACACAGACACACAAATTCAGCACATGTGCAAAGCTCAAAATGATTCAATTTGTTTTGATTCTTTATGAAAAGATTTGAAGCATCATTACATTTCAAACTCCACCATGAATCCACTTCATCTTTAGGTAAGATTAGAATCATTAAAAAATTATACACAACTCTAAAGTGGAGGAACCACTTACACAGCAGCAGAACAGAGACAGTTAAAAGAGCTCTGTTTTGAGGGAATTTCTACCTTTATTTTGGGGATTTTTTTTATTTTGGGCAGAAATTATACCTAATAAAAATATACCTATTTTTATTATTATAAGTGATTATAATTTATTCTAACATTACAAAATCAATGCAGTTGGATCATCACCTTCGGACTGCTGTGTCAGTGCTATTTTACACTCACACCAGTCAGGGTCACTGAATGGGTGTTACTAACAGGGATGACGCTGACGCTGACAAACACACTGCCTTATCTCTCTCAGAGAAACACTCGTTATGCTTTACAGTGCAATAATCCTCTTTAAATAACAGGTTGGATCTGTTACTCAAGCAGAACTGAGCACTGCCCTCCTGTGGACTTTACTGGGCCATTTCATAAGTCATTTCGTAACTCCCATATAAGTCCAGTCATCATAAAACTTGTTACCCAGTGACCCAGAGTTTATGGAGTTACTGTTTCATAACATCAGTTATTTAAACTGAGTCCTGTATCATCTGACACAACCTGCACCTCGAACAAACAGCTGAACAGGCCTTTGGCTTTTACAGTGCTTCTGAGTCCCAAACCTCGGCGTTTTATGTTTTTCTTGATAGTTTTCTTTTCTTTAACTCTGAGAACGCAGGCAAAAGACAAAAAAGGACAAAGAAGGAAGGGAAATGGAATCCTTGAGTAACAGCAATGATTCATTTATCATTGTTATTTGAAGCAATACAAATAAACGGTGCACACTGGGTATAAACATTCTACAGAAGAGGACCAGGCATGAACAGACTGGGACACACCCAGATAAACAAACGGCTATGCTGCACTAAGGAACTGCAGTCACCCCCAGCCTATCAGCTACGGCCCATTTTATAGTTTCTTTAGTGTTAATAATACTAATAACAAGAATAATAAGATCTTTATTTAACCTCTATGTGAGCAGAGAAAACAGTAAAATAAGTCTCCAAGACTGGGAAAGAGAACAAAGATGCCAAAACAGACCAGTGAAAAGCTGGTATGCCAGGTATGTAAAATATTCTTTTATGACAGAGTAAAACTGGTAAAACTTGTAAACGACAATAAGAAATGAACCAAATAAAATAAAAATAAAACCAAACCAAAATAAATATTTAGTTATTTTCTGATAGTTTCATGATATTTTATATCAGTATTTGAGTAATCGACTGATTATTCTAAGAATTAATCGAGGGATATAATAAAAAATGGACATTAGTGAGGTCATGGAAACACACTAAAGTACTATTCAGATGTGATTAGTTTTCCATGGGACGGTGGGTGACGCAGCTCACAGGGTGTCAGTGACGATTATGACCAATTTGCACAGGATAAAAAATCTCGCTGCTGATGTCAGAGACGGGAGCGGCTACTCGGTTCATGCACTGCCTTCACTCCAGAAAAGAGTAGACATGTTAAAACATTTAATTTAGCTGATATTCTGTTTACCCTAAACATGTAAAACTAATCCAGCACGTGTGGGTCAGTTTATTTCATCACTGTCCATTCCTAATCATTCTGTTGCAAAGTGGACTTTAATGAAGAGGACAACAGGTGATGTGTGTGTGTGTGTGTATGTGTGTGTGTGTGTGTTTGTGTGTGTGTGTATGTGTGTGTGTGTTTATGTGTGTGTGTGTGTTTGTGTGTGAGTAAACATACCTCAGCAGTTAGTTGCCGCTGGGCATCCTTCGAGGCTTGTAGATGAATCCTTAGCTCCTCTTTCTCCAGTGCCAACTAAAAAAGAAACAGATACATTAAAAACATGCTGACCACACGGACGGTGTGGTTTACCATAGTGGTCCACCTTCCACCTGGACAGCATCCAATCTAGGTGATGTCATTAAAGACACCCTATTTGATTGGAAACATTATTTCATAAACTGACAGGAGCAAATTAACCTGCACACTCCGACCAGAGCCTCGTCTTATAATGCTGAATATTTTATATGGGTCACGAAAAACATGTTAATATTCAGTTTTGGATACAGAAACATTTTCAGTAGTTCTATTTAACACAATCACTCAATCAATTACACTGCTAAAAGTGACGAACACAAATGTAAAAATAATAATAAAACTTCACTGTGCAGCTTACAGAACTGGAACTAGTCCACCTTGGATGGCTGATTGGAGCTGTTTGAAATGGTGGAGTTTCTTAGCTGAGTGGACAGACTGGTGACAGAAGGCTGGCGCTGCTTAATGCAGTGATTAAAAAAACCCGCTCCAATATGTCAAACATGCTCAACAAACTCATTTGTGAAGACGTCACTCAAATGTGCCAGTTACCAAGGCGAGGAGAAAACAGGATGATATTTCATTTTCTGTTCCACCTTATCAGTGGAGTAGCAGTTATGTTTAAGAAGCTGGTAAAAAGGAAGTCTTATGAAGAAAACATGAGCAGTTACCTCTCCCAGCAGGATTCAAGCAGCCGCTAAGTGCCGATTCTGAACGGGCGAAATCAATAACTCGCTCCACAGGGATGTTATTAGAGACCGATTTGTATTGAATTATCCTCTATTCAGCTGTAGAGACCAACTCTACTCAGATTCCCTTTATTACCCCCTTCATTAAACTAACACAGGACCTGACTGTAAATATACTTGTCATGCTCAGATCATTAAATACTGAGATGCAGCCTAAAAGATTTTAGGTTTTGTTTAAAAAAGTTTTAAGCAAAGTTTTGTTTACTTTTATATAAATATTGCACTCTTTATAATACAGCATGATTCAAAAAGATCAAAAGCGCCACATTTTTCCAACCGTGAGGCGCCGAGGAACCAATCACAATCCAACTGAAAGAGGGGCTCATAGAGTTTCTGACTGTCAGTCTGGCAGAAAACCTCCAACAGCTCAGAGTGTTCGTCGTTGGTACCAACAAAGAAAAAGGCCACCAGCATCACCAGATCTCACGCCGTGTGACTTTATTTGTGGGGGACGTTAAGGGTTCGGTTTATGTGCCACTCCCAACAACACTGGATGATCTCCGAAATCGCACTGAAAGAGCCGTGAGTGCAGCGACACCCGACACGCTCAATCCAGTATGGGATGAGTTTGACTGTGGTGTTGATGTTGTCTGTACAGCTGGAGGAGGTTCAGACTGAGACCTTGTACAATTACATAATAAACTTTATGCTCATTTAAACCATTTACAGTTCACTGCATTGATCTGTAATGATTTACAAGGGAAATAAATCATTTTGAAATCGGATGAATCTTTCTGAATCACCCTGTATTTATTTTATGCATTTAAAGAAAATGAGATGTGCTTCAGCCACGATTTATGTGTTTTAGAAAAAAAGAAAAACAAGATGTTTTGGTAAGTACCAAAAAATAAATAAATACAAAAATAAATGATGAGGTTATGTTAGCATTTCTTCATGTAACTAACTTAGGGTCAGAATCTATGATGGCGTTTTGATATTTTGTTTCTAATTTATCCAGCAGTATGCATCTAAAGACTGATAATACTGTATCAGGAAATACAGGCTAATCAAATAATAGTTGATAACTGAACTACAACTGATTCTCTCTCTCTCTGACCTCTTTGACCCGGTGCTGGAGCTCCACTATCTGCGACAGTAACTGGGCGATTTCCTCCTGATGTCTCAGCAGATCCTCATTCTTCTGAGAAAGTTCCTCAGTCAGAGTGACCATCTGACTGTTCGACTCACCTGAAACACACACATTTTTATTAATGAACACTATTTAATGCTTGTTCTTTTATGTGCACGGTTTGCAATCAGAAGTAACAGTGACAACAACAACAAAACAAAATGTGAGTATCTTACGTAGCTCTTTGACGCAGTCGCTGACCAGCTGCTGCTCTTTCTCCTCGTATGTGATGGTTTCCTTCTTCAGGTGACTGGCCTGCAGAGCATCAGAGGAGTAGAACTCACTCATCATTTCATCAGCACGTTCATTTAAAACAATTCAACTCAATTTTGTTTTAACTCCATTTAATTAATGTGTTAAAGTTTATCACTGTATGCAGGCACAAGTGCATAAAGACCCTTTTAGTCAATGGTGCACCAGTAATACACAAGATAATGTACAAAACAAGTAAACATAATTTAAGTACAACGATAAAAAGGATTTCATAGAACAGAGAGACTAGAGACGGGTGATACAGGGGCGGAGCCAAAAAGAGAAAAGGCCAGATTCTACTCAGATTGATCAGAGGCCCAGCCTGTCACATGGGGAAAGAATGATTACACTCAATATTTCAAGATAATTCAATATTTCAAGATAATGCCACTTGACTTTCCAGTTTGTGAGTGCTCTATTATGACCAATCAAATCACTCTGCTCTCCACCAAACTCCGCCTTATTGTCCTCAGCCATCTCATCACAGCACAGTAACTGAAGTTAAAGCTCCAGCTGTGGTTAGATGTAACTGGGGATGCCTAAAAATGAGATTCTGTCCCGTAGAATGCGATTTTCTACCTATCCAAAGCAAATGTTACTGTTTCTTCAGTGAATCAAAGGTAAGATATGAATGGATCATATATATTTTTGGCTCATTGAGACAGTATTTTTTTGGCTTCAATGATTAGGTTTAGGTTTTTAAGGCTGCTATGTCGTTTTTGCTTGTCTTTGCACATCTCAACTGTCTGATCTCGGACACGTCTTCTTCTTCGGAACTGTCCACTGTGGCAGTACGCCTTAGTCTAGGATGATCAGGTTTAGGTTTTTAAGTTTACTGCATATTTTTCTTTTTCTTAGTACATTTCAGCTGTAATTTTAACTTCGTCTTCTTCACTGGGCAAACATGCCTGTGGCGAGCAGATGAGTGCTTTATAGCTTTCTTTAGAGTAAAGGCTGTTGCAGTATTTATTGGATTTATGTGAATCCAGTGTTTTATGACATTAACATAGGGTGGAGGTGTTGGAATAGGTAGGGTTACGACTGTACAGCTGTCAGAAATAGGCTACAGCTGGGTGTGGTATGTCTAAAAACACTGGGGTGATATGTCCAAAAACATACAATATAAATGATTACTGAAAAATATTGTAAGCATTTCCTAATGATCAGTTTGACCAATTTTTATAATATTACAATACCCCAAGGAAAACAAAAAGCATATGATAAAAAAAATCTACAACTGATTTAAGTAACTCAAAGCAATAATGTAATAATAATAATAATAATAATAATAATAACAACAACAACAATAACAACAACAACAACAACTTAGCAATTTCGGCAGCTCAAACGTGGCAGTTTAAAGTGCTTCACAATGAAATGGCATGGATATTTAAAAAAATATCAAGTCTATTTCAAGCCTTTGATGCTGATACTGCACTGTGGAACAGAACAGCCTAACCATCGAGATATTTAGCAAATTTTTTTAAGTGCTTATTATCAATATTGGGAAAAAAAGTGTCATTTCAATAATTATCCCTATTGTTTTTTGTCCTGGCCTGAATGTTGACTCATGTATTTCCACTGTTTACAGTTCATTTCTCTCACCTCCTGCCGCAGCACCAGGTTCTCCTCCTCCAGCTCCTGCAGTTTGCTCTGCAGCACCTCCAGCTGGCTGAGTGCGAGAGCGCTCCCTGCAGGCGGTGGGGGGCGCAGTGGGGTGGAGCAGCTGGAGTCCGTCTCGCTCTCCTCACTCGCACTCGCCACCATCCGCAACAACTCATCCTTCTTACACAACTCATGCTGCAGCTGGTGCACCTGACCAACGAGGGGCAGCGTTTACAGAGAGTGGGGGTTTTGGTACATGTATATGTGTTTCTGACAAAATCTTGGACCCTTTTATATTTTACCTTCAAAAAATAATTCTCTTATTATTTTGCAGAGATTAATTTGTGGGTGTGGTACCTGATCTAGAGCCTGCGTTAGCTGTTCCTCCAAATTCTCACTGCGTTCCTGCAGCACATGGTTCCTCTGCAACAGAGACTGACCAATCCGAGCAGCCAGCTCCAGATCCCGATCTCGCTGACCAGTCAGAAAAATACACAACATTCAGACAACCATTCAGAATCCACAAGCGCCATAAATATCTAACAGGTTGAGCAGAAACAGCTACAGCTGTGGCTAGTTTCACTCTGCACTTTCAAGTAGATGACTTCAATAAACAGGAGCTGAAACTGTGCACTTTAAAGTAGCTGAATTCACTAATTAGGAGTGTCTGAATACTTTTGGACATCATGTTTCTATCAATGCTCTATAAAGGTTATCCAACCAAACAACAGTAGTGATGAAAGAATGCGTTTGTAGGTGGACAAATCAAATACAGAACTTCTTCACATCCATTAACACTCTTTACCTCAGCTAACAGGTGAGTGACAACGTCTATGTCATTGTAGGTTTTGGTCATCTGCTCCACCCGGTCAGCACTGAGGACTACAGACAGAGAAAGAGAGCGTCAGACAACAAACATTCATACTGTATGTTTACTTTCAGAGGTGGGCAAATAATCTAACATCTCAGGAGCATCAGAGCTGGTGCTTTGATTCTTTGAGAATCCAAATTAGAATCACAGATTATTTCCCATCTCTGAGATTAGAATGAAACAAAAACAAACAGACATGCACCTGATCTACAGCCACTGCAAAAACACACATACACACCTCGACACATATGTGCATATAAAATGTGTGCACATATTCATAATATCTAGTGTCTACTGCATCCACACACACACACACACACACACACACACACACACAGGTGTGTACAGGTCCCACCACCACAAACACCTGCATGCATAAACACGTTTCCATCTAGTAATTAAGACTCATGCTAGGCTCTGCTACCGTTAGCGCTCTATGCTAATGCTAAAAAAGGCAGTGTCTGCTGAAAGCCGTGGAACTCACATGCAAAACTACAAAACACATGCAGTCAAGAATGGGATGGAGA